TTTTTTTTTTTTTTTGTAGTTCAGTATAAAATGAATTTCTTTTTTCTGCAGATTTAGGTATCATTATTAACCGTAACAGAAGATGGAGTATCAGAAGCGCCGGCCAAATGCGCCATTTTCATCATCGTCATCGTTATCATTGTCGACGTCAAAATTCAATTGTCTCAATTTGTTTATCTTTATCCTGTATTTTTGGTGAAGTTCTTCTTGATGCGGAATAAACATAAATCAAAACAACTTATTTTGCTGCCTTAACCGGATTCTTTTTTCTTCTAAAAACATCATCATTTTAACAACAACTTCATTATCATCATCACCATCATCATCAACAACTATTTGCCTCTTTTTTTCTTCATATCTTTACTGCATTTCGTTACTCTGTTGTATCTCCTTCAGTTTATTATAGTAGTAACTGTTGTAAAACTGTGCCATAAAATTATTTTCACTTATTTATTTACACCTCTTTTTTTCTAGTCTCACTTAGTGATTTGTTTGGTCTTTGCATTACAGACGTAACAAGCGTTTGTATTTACTTTGTCGACATTTTAGTGTTGCACGTAAATGTTTCAAAACAAATTTTTTCACCTTGCTGTTTTTTCATGGTTATCTTAATTGTTGAGGAAAAAAAAAGTCAAAAATATTTTTGAATTAACATTTGTACTAGTCTTCTTGAAATAAAGGGGTTAGGGCAAACAAAATGGATGGGAAGGAAGAACTGTAGAAAAAGGGGAGCTGATGGATGAGTACAGGGGAACAAGCTCAAATGAACTAAGATGCTGACCAAATCAGTCTGACCAATTGATTAACAGTGATTATTAAGTGCTGATATTGGGGCAGTTATTGGTGTCACATCTTTGTCTGCTTATGTTTCTATTAATGTTTACTTGGTTTCGTTTCTTCGTTTCATGATCTGATTCGTTTAACCAAGGGTTTTTGATCTATTCAATTTTGATCTTCTTTGCGAATAAATGTCGTCTGTTATTCTGGGAAGAAAAAGTTGCAGTCAGATATTGTTGCCAGTATTATTGTTTTTGTTGTTATCATTAGTATTATTGTTATAACAGTTGCTTAATTAGTTATTGAAAAAGAAAAGTCTGCTCTGTTAGTGGTTTTTTGTTACTTTTTGTTGAATTTTGAATCATTTTATCGTCTTCTGACAACTTTTCTTCTTTTCTCTGCGAACCTTTACCGATTTTCGTTTTCCTATTAGTTTTCACTGTTCAAATAAG